CTAAACTGTTGTATTCTGAGCACCTCTGCAAAAACAGTGATTATGTGTGAGTGAGGTGAAAGTGTTGAATGATGAAAGTATTTTTGGGGGGGAGATTTTCTTTCTTTTTGGGTCACCCTACCTTGGTGGGAGACAGCCGACATGTTAAAAAAAGAAAAAAAATGTATTTCTATTGGAGGTTGAATTAGAGAAGGCCTGTTTCGGTGTTCATCCTCTGTAATGTGCTTGTGTAGCATTAGCAGAAGAGACTATGTGGTGCACTGAACATTTCTAAAGTACTTTCACAAGCTAACACTAGAGTCACCATAGCTTCCAGCACTTCAATAAAGGATCTAACCAGGCCAAAATCCAAGCACCATGAACCAGTCAACGCAGGAGTTTACACTATACCCTGTGGAGGCTGCGACAAGATTTATGAAGGTGAAACAGCAAGAAACCTCGACACCCACTTCAATGAACACATTTATGCATGTAGGAACGATAACTTTAACAACGCCTGCATACAACACCGAAATTCCACCAATCATCTCATGAAATTCAGGGATGCCCAATTAGTGATCCAAGAAACTAATTTCCGCAGATGCAAGTGCCTTGAATCATCATTAATCGCTGTTTCTAATACAATTAAACAAAACAAAGGCAGTTTCACCATCTCTGAAGTCTTAGCAAGAATCCTCCTGAAAACAGTAAACCCTGCCACCGCATAGTCTCTTCTGCTAATGCTACACAAGCACATTACAGAGGATGAAACAGGCCTTCTCTAATTCAACCTCCAATAGAAATATTTGTCTATTATTTTTATGCTACCCAAGTAATACATTTTATATCCTTTTACTCATGTGCAAGTTAATTGTTCTACCATATTGTATCACTACTACTACTACACTTCTACTACCACTAGCACTGCACCTGACTCTAAGCCTATATATACCCTCTGTGTCCATGTATTGTTTGTAACAGCTTCATAAAGCTCCTGGAGAGTGAAGCGTTGCCACAATAAAATGTCACATTAGTTGCACTTATGTCCTTTTACTTTACATACTGTTGGTAATTATACCAACATATATACATAAGTGATCTAATTACACATTCCAGTGCTTTTACCAGTGGTGTACTGTACTTCAGCTGTATTTCTACAACTGCTGAACATCTTGGCAACTGGTAATAAAGAATGAACAAGTGTTTGAATGAGAAAGTTGTAACAGAAGTAAAGTATACATTCACTGAAGTGTAGTCATGACACTCTCAACCCAAACACTGCATTTTACAAACATTAACCACACCTTGCTAGGTAAGAAAACTTAATCTACTCGACTATTAAAGTGAGGGAAGAGGTATTGGTAAATCTCTTTCCCTATTATATTATCCAATTATGAACAAAGCAATAATATTTTGAGAGGGAGATTACACCATCTTATTTCCCCACTGACTCTGGTTCAGCCAAACCATGTGGTATTATTTTCTCTCACTAAAAATGACATTACCAGCCTCTCATGTATAGATCATACAAAATAAAATCTATACAGATAATTCAGGTATATGTTCAAGAATTGGATATAGAATGACTTTCAAAATAGTAGTGGCAAATTGTAAATAATTCACCAAACAGAGGATTTAAGATTCATGAGAATTGTATAAAAAACCTGCAGTCATGGTCACAGTGGCACATATGTTAGCCTTCCTAATGTGTAAAAAAGTACAATCAGTTGGATAAATCTTATTAGGCTTGAATGATACAGTGGATAGCACATTAGCCTGCTAGTTTTCGGACTGGTTTGCTACGGATTCAAACAATCTGTTCTGTGAATTAGATATAGAAAACTGGTATCTCACAATATTGCTGGGAGCCAAAGCTAAAATTGGCACTGTCTCTCCACAGGTCCCAGATATAGCTCATTACTGCATTACTTACAACACAAAGAGGGAAGCTGATGCTGCTTCCTCCATGTATATCAGAGGATAAACATTGCTACATTAAACATGAACCTGGTGGGCCCACATTAACCTTCACATTCTTTAAATGCTTTAAGTAATGACTAACAGAATGTAAGTTAAAATGTACTATTTCTGACATATTCAGATGGTTTATAAAAAGTTGTTTGCATTTTTTATGGTCTCTGGGTCTCTGGCATGTCACACTATTGTTGTCTTGTGTTTTTCAAAGCAGTTAGCACTAATTTAGATTAGAGGCCGATTGTCAGGAATGTAAAATGCGCTCTAACAAATGGTCTACTGTAGTCTGTAGTCTACTCAGGAAATAAGATTTTAGCCAGTAATGTAGGAAGGAAAGTTATATGTACCTTAAGAGATTACTGGCTATTTAGGTACCACGTAATGAGTATTATCCCGTGGGTGTTTATGGGGTTTTATTTTAAACCTTTCTGATCGACCACTTGGCATTCTGTTTAGTAGTGAGCACATGATCATTTCTTTATACTACTAATAGAATATTCAATTCTCTTGTATTCATTGTAACGACTACCGAAGAGACTGTATATATGGTACTCAATTAGTCATTGCCTTGTTAATCTTAAAATAGTCTTAAGGTTTTCCAAAATGCTCTGCACATAAAGGGGCTTTCTGCATGCACACCTAAATGTCATTCACCTCTGTCCAAACATTGTTTCATGTTGCAATAAAGACTTATCTTAATCTATACAGGACCTGCCAATCAGGTATGCCGCTCCTACTGCATCACATAATACTTCTTTATTTTTAAATTATTTTACAAAGCCATATGTTTTAGCCTATGGCTCATGTTTTTGGGGTTCGTGATTATTAATTGCAATTTAACCTCTAACTGTTGAAGCTTTCCAAAAAACTATGTATTCATTAATTACATTTTTTAATTACATCTATTTTTTTATTCATCAAATAGGCCATATCCCACTGAGGTAGGGTGACTAAAAAAAAAAAAAAACAAATTTTCTCTTCTTAAATTTAGTCACGTATACAGGAGAAGGGGTTACTAGCCCCTTGCTCCCAGCATTTCAGTTGCCTCTTACAACATGCATGGCATAAGGAGGAAGAATTCTGTTCCATTTCCCCATGCAGAATCACGTACATGCATATATTTTTTATACGTATTTTTATACGTAATGAAAATAGTTTGTTAGATTATATATTGGTGGATAAAAGGTTGATAGGTAGGCTTCAGGATGTACATGTTTATAGAGGGGCAACTGATATATTGGATCATTATTTAGTTGTAGCTACAGTTAGAGTAAGAGGTAGATGGGACAAAAGGAAAATGGCAACAATAAGCAAGAGAGAGGTGAAAGTGTATAAACTAAAGGAGGAAGAAGTTCGGGTAAGATATTAGCAACTATTGGCAGAAAGGTGGGCTGGTGCAAGTATGAGTAGTGGGGATGGGGGGTTGGAATAGTTTTAAAAATGCAGTATTATTATTATTATTATTATTATAATCAAAAAGAAGCGCTAAGCTACAAGGGCTATACAGCACTGCAGGGTAGGGAAGGAAGCGAGGGTATTGGGCGGTAGAAGAGGGGAGGGATGATCAGTAGGTTACAGAAAACAGCGGGGCAGGGGAGAGTGCGGGGGTAGAGGGCAGCAAGAGATTGAAGTAGAAAGGGCTGAAGGTATCATCAGAGTTTGTGAAGTAGTCAGTTGTTGTCAAAAAGTCAATGAGAGAGTCCGGATGAAAGGTGGGTCCATCAGCGAGAAGGGAAGGTAAAGAGAGAGCAGCGGAGCGAAGACAACATTGGAGGTATATTCTGCATGCTCGTTGATAAAGTGGGCAGTCTAATAGAATGTGGCTAACCGATAATGGAACCTGACAATTCTCACAGAGAGGAGCAGGGCGCCTTTCCATGAGATAACCATGAGTAAGACAAGTATGCCAATGCGAAGACGGGAGAGAGTGGTCTCCCAACCTCGACACTGGTGACAAGAAGACAGCCAGTAACCTATACTCAGCTTAATAGATTGAAGTTTGTTACCGAGCAGAGTAGACCAACGTTGTTGCCAACGGGTGTGAAGGTGGGTAGTTATTGCAGCAAAATAGTTCGTAAATGGAACACCTCTATATGAAACTGGTAGGTCATGTACTGCTGACCGCGCAGCAGTGTCTGCCTGTTCATTGCCCTGTACGTCAACATGACCAGGGACCCAACAAAAAACAATATCTTTATGCCCTGAAGAGATGCGGCGTAGCCAAAGTTGGATACGGAGGACTAAGGGGTGAGGTGTATCAAATTTCTGTATAGCCTGTAAAGCACTAAGGGAGTCTGAGACAACCACAAATAATGACACAGGCATAGATGCAATATGGATAAGTGCTGCAAGAATGGTATACAATTCAGCAGTAAAGATACTAGCCGAAGATAGTAAATGTCCTCGTACGATGCTGTCCTGAAACACTGCTGCAAATCCTACGCCATCAGAAGACTTAGAGCCATCTGTGTACACTGCAATGGCATGAGAATGAGACTGGAAGTGGTCAAGAAAAAGAGACCGGGAAGCTACCGTAGACAGTTGGGCTTTCGAGTAAGGGAGTGAGAAAGAACAGACTCGAACAGCTGGAACTTCCCAGGGGGGTAGGGAAAAGTGAGATGCTACATGAACATAGAAAGGTGGTAATTGAAGAGAAGACAAGAGCGAATGTAGGCGAAGGGAGAAGGGACGGAACAAACAGGGGCGGCGAACAAATAAAGAATATCTACTAATATCAGTGACCATTCTATAAATGGAAGGATTGCGGAGATCATGAGAGCGTACATAGTAGCGAAGGCAATGGGCATCACGGCGATCGGATAAGGATGGAACGTTCGCTTCTGCATAGAGGCTCTCGACAGGGGAAGAGCGAAAAGCACCAAGGCATAAACGTAATCCTTGGTGATGAATGGGGTTAAGGCTAGAGAGAGTAGCAGGAGATGCCGCTGAATAGATCTGGTCACCATAATCAAGTTTTGATAAGATAAGGGTGGAATGTAGGCGAAGGAGGGTTCGACGATCAGCTCCCCATGAGAGACGAGCAAGGGTTTTAAGGAGGTTCAGCCGGCTGTGGCAAGTTGCCTTCAGAGAGGTAATGTGAGGTTTGGGAGTGTGTGTAAAGGTAGAAAGTTGAAAGTGAACATAGAAAAAAGTAAGGTGATAAGGGTATCAAATGATTTAGATAAAGAAAAATTGGATATCAAATTGGAGAAGAGGAGCATGGAAGAAGTGAATGTTTTCAGATATTTGTGAGTTGACATGTCAGAGGATGGATTTATGAAGGATAAGGTTAACCATAGAATTGATGTAGGTAAAAAGGTGAGTAGTGCATTGAGGTATATGTGGAGATAAAAAACATTATTTATGGAGGCAAAGAATGGAATGTATGGAAGTACAGTGGTACCAACACTCTTATATGGGTGTGAAGCTTGGGTTGTAAATGCTGCAGCGAGGAGGTGGTTGGAGGCAGTGGAGATGTCCTGTCTAAAGGCAATGTGTGGTGTAAATATTATGCAGAGAATTCAGTGTGTGGAGATTAGGAGAAGGTGTGGAGTTAATAAAAGTATTAGTCAGAGGGCTGAAGAAGAGTTGTTGAGGTGGTTTGGTCATTTAGAGAGAATGGATCAAAGTAGAATGACATGGAGAGCGTATAAATCTGTAGGGAAAGGAAGGTGGGTTAGGGGTCGTCCTCAAAAAGGTTGGAGGGAGGGGTAAAAGAGGTTTTGTGGGCGAGGGGCTTGAACTTCCAGCAAGCATGCGTGAGTGTGTTAGATAGGAGTGAATGAAGACGAATGGTATTTGGGACTTGACGATCTGTTGGAGTGTGAGCAGGGTAATATTTAGTGAAGGGATTCAGGGAAACCGGTTATTTTTATATAGCTGGACTCGAGTCCTGGAAATGGGAAGTACAATGCCTGCACTTTAAAGGAAAGGTTTGAGATATTGGCAGTTTGGAGGGATATGTTGTATATCTTTATATGTGTATGCTCCTGAACTATCGTGTTCTGGGCACCTCTGCAAAAACAGTGATTATGTATGAGTAAGGTGAAAGTGTTGAATGATGAAAGTTTTTTCTTTTTTGGGATTTTCTTTCTTTTTGGGTCACCCTGCCTCTGTGGGAGATGCCGACTTGTTGAAAAAAAAAATTATATATAAATTTAAATGATTTTGCATCTTGTATAGCATCTCACGGGTATGCAGTACATCCTTAAGAACATCTCCTAACTAATTTTGTTAGTGAAAGTGTACTGAGCCACAGTACAGTAAAGTCTGTCACATCCTTCATTAGGGCAGATCATTTCAACATATGGTACTCACAACAAGATGCCAATTATCAAGTCTTATATACAGGTAATAATATTTGTCTATGCAAATCAGTAAATACAATACAGTACTGTACTGACAAGAAAAAGTATGATTATGAAAGATGCAACTTTCATTTGCCCTTCAAAGTTTAAAGATCATAAATTTCCTACTGCCATTCAGTGAATAAAATATTCATTATAGAAAAATATAATCCAAATTAAAATTTGTCTAAATTACAAAGGAATTTTGAACAAGTTCAAAATATTTTCAAAATTCGACTAATCAGTAAATCTTTTGGTTTGATGCTTGAGTTACAACAAGTTGAAATTCCACACCATTGTGAATGTAAAAGCATAAAAGAGAGGAATTTTATGTTAACCAACTCATAGTTCTCACAGGTGTTTCACACCTATGAAAACTATGAGTGAGATACTACCACTACTCTGCTAGGTCATTAAACCAAATCCAAACCAGACCTCATCAATGTATCTTTGAGTTGTGATAGGCCTCACTCTTGCTCAGTCATTAGCAGTCTTGTAAAAAGCTGCTTAGGGCAAAAGCAGAGGAATATTACAACCTAAAGACAGAAGTAACAGGTTAAATTCAAACTGTTTAATGATCAATAAAAGTAGCATCATCTCCTCACACCCATACTTCCATGAGAATTTTGGTTAAATTCCTATACAATACTACCTCTTCATGAGTTAGCTGCTGGCAGCCTACATTATTTTACTTACAAAAATAACAACAAAACATAGAAACAATAACTGTAGTATTCCCTGAGGAAATGCCCAAATGTGGCATGCAGTGTCCAACACTCAAGATACTTGTCTATTATTACACAAGGTGAATGAGCAATTTCCTAGTATGACATGGTACTCAAACAAGTTCTCCATCTGTTAACTGACTGATGAACAAGACACTAAATAAAAAAGAATCAGAGGTAATAATATATCTCTTTAACTATATAGTACTGCATGGTACATGTATTTTAGTCACATACAGCACTACAAGGCCCACATGGGTTTGGTGCATTTTTGTGAATTCCTGAATAATAAAAAATCATATACAGTAATGTATATGAAAACAATGACTAGGTTTAAATAGCCAACAAGGAAAATAATATAACAACTTAACTGAACTTACTAGTCCATTACACTAAAGTTTTGGATCACCATTTAAGATACAATGTGTGTCTGCTGAAGTGTGACTATCTTGATCGTATATACATTCTTCCTCGGCTTTACAAGTAATGCTGTATATTACTTGATTCTTCTTAAACGATGGGCTGTAGAGATCCGTTGATTCTATTTGGACTCCATTCCTACGGCACTCGAGGAAGCGTTCAGCAAAGAATCTGTTTGTGTCATGGACATATGGATGCTTTACATAGTCTTGAAGCTGAAAGGAGTGTAATAGCTTAGGACACGAATAATAAATTTGCTTTACATTAAATCAAGTACAAGTTAGACAAAATATTTTAAAAAAAGAACTACACTCAGCCTCAGTGGGAGATGCTGTTGTAATAAAAAAAAAAAAAAAAAATTTGACAAGAATACTACAGTACTACTGCAAAGTTCATATTATGCCTAGAATTTCTGGCAGTACTACGAATGATGATGATAAAACTCAAATTAATGGATTACAGACAATGTAATAATAGTGTAATTTATTTTTTAAATATACCAGTCATCTCCCACCAAGGTAGGGTGACCACCTCCCCCCAAAAAAGGGGAGGGGAAACACATTCACCATCATTCATTCAACAGCTATCTAGCCAGAAGTGTGCTGACATTAGTTCAGAAAAAAATGCCAAAAATTCACCTGATGTGCAGGGGGGCAGGTTATACTAACCGTGATGTCATCACAAGAAATGTTGTAGTGACTATAATTCATTGTAGAAACATCATACGATGATGAGACACCAAAATGTTGCCAGATTGTTGAACTATTTTTCTGTAAGCTTAGCTATTTTATTTAAATTTTTTTTTCACCTGCCTGCACCGTGTGGTTTGTCCCTTGCTATACACTGAGTGTAGTGCTTGGCAGGCAGCAAATGCAAATTTTTATTTTTGGAACTTCCTGGAAATTTAATTTTTTGAACATTTTCGATCCACACTTGGTTAAATCCACAGATGCGAAACCTGTGAATATGAAGGGCCTGGAGTACATATACCTGGAGGGTGTTTCAGGGATCAGCGCCCCCACGGCCCAGTCCATGACCAGGCTAACTGTATATTGATGAAATAAATGTTATTTATTCTATTTTTTTTACTAGTTTAGTCTTCTAACACTATGTACAAGGAATAATTATAATATTATAATTGTTTCAAGGTGTGACATTCCTCAATACATAGAAATAAGCCACATTGTTTGCCTATACGTACTAAGCTGCTGCTGCTTCTTTCAACAAACTGGCCATATCCCACTGAGGCAGGGTGGCCTAAAAAGAAAAACATAAGTTTCTCTTTTTAACTTTAGTAATATATACAGGAGAAGGGGTTACTAGCCTCTTGCTTCCGGCATTTTAGTAGCCACTTATTACACACATGGCTTATGGAGGAAGAATTCTGTTCCACTTCCCCATGAAGATAAGAGGAAATAAACAAGGACAAGAACTAGAGAAACTAGTGAACAAGAACTAGTGAAGAGGTGAAAGTGTTGAATGATGATGAAAGTATTTTCTTTTTGGGGATTTTCTTTATTTTTGGGTCACCCTGCCTTGGTGGGAGACAGCGGGCTTGCTAAAAAAAAAAAACTAGTAAGAAAAATAGAAGAAAACCCAGAGGGGTGTGTATATATATGCTTGTACATGTATATGCATGTGTAGTGTAACCTAAGTAGAAGTAGCAAAACATACATGAAACCTTGCATGTTTATGAGAAAAAAAAAAAAAGACACCAGCAATTCTACTATCATGTAAAACAATTATAGGCTTCTGTTTTACAATCACTTGTCAGGACGGTAGTACCCCCCTGGGCGGTTGCTGCCTACCAACCTACATCCTTGGACTATACTAAGCTATCCTAGGTTAATTATTTATATTATATATGGTATTTAGGTTCATGGAAGTATCCTAGGTTATATATGTACACAATTCTGATAGCTCCCTCTGCATATCAGTTACATCTTTTAATCCCACACCTTTTCACAACAACTTAGCAGTCAGTTCTTTTAAAAAAAAAATCATGAATATTGATGATGATGGATGATTTATGATCAATGATTGTTGATTGATAATGATTTGAAATTTACAGTACAGAGCAGATTTACAGAACAAACCTAGCTTATGGCAGTTAAACCATTACATTATATAATAAAAAGATTATATAAATAATAACACAACATATGCGCAGTAATGTGTATAAATTACACGAGTTCAAATAATTTTATTTAGGAAATTTTTCAATTCTATACAGACTTTGGTTTCTTCCAAATTTTTGGTCCCTTTCTTTCCATAGTTTATCTATAGATTCAATAATATGAATGGAAATTAAAGAGGCATTGATTTTTATGTGGTGCTCATGAGTTTTCTTAAAACTCTCAATTAACAAGTCTTCAAACATAAATAATACAGTTTAGGCTTGTGTTAGCTGTAACACTCCATGCAACCTATTTCAACAGCTACTGACTAACTGCTTCTATACCCAAATGAAACTGCCAATGAAGCATTAATGATTCAATGGTCAAATGTTTCAGCCTCTGAATAAAATCATGTCCTAAAAGTCTATTTAATGCCAAATTCTTATTTAAACAAAGACATGCAGCATTCTTTAATTTTTTACCTCAAGACTTGCCCAAAACACTAAGTTCAATGAACTTACACCAATGTCATTACAGTGCTATTCCATTATCTGTAATACTGAATACAGTAGAGCCCCGCTTTATGGCATTTTGCCTTACAGAATTCCGCTAATACAGCGATTTCAAATTATGACCAAAAATTGCTATACAGCTTCCAGTCTTTCTAACATGGCGTGCCCCACCCAGTTTGTTTACATTCTCTCTATTTTTTTTAATTTACAAGGGATCCACCTCTGGTGTAAATTGTGGGACCCACAACATCGGAGAAGTGGATAAAAAGGCTTCAAGGAAGAATATTTGGATTTCTTCCTGAAGCCGTTTGAATATTCCACTTCCCCTACCACCCCATCTTTTCACTCTTATTTTACCAATAGGAATATTTTATTACATAATATGGTACAGAAGATTTAAGAGATACATTGTTGATATAAAGGTGGCATATACAGTACACGTTGTTACGTGTGTGTTACCGATTATAAGGCGAAAATCTCATCCACCTCCTCAGAACTGGGGCATGTGCCCAAAATACAGCAGGCACTACCCCTTTGAACAGCTGCACTGAGTCGCTGGAACAGAAAACTAGCTGCCCTGGGATCCCTAGTTGCCCTGATGAGTCTTTTTCCCAGCTCCTTAAGGAATTTAGATGCATTCTTTCCCCATGAGCCAAGGGTCTCTGAGCCTATGGGAACAAACATATAATGATGGGCAAGTTCTCTATATTTTCTAGACTTTTGGGATTCCCTGAAACTGGCAGCTGCCCCTCCTTCCTCCCTGGTGTATTGGAAATAGGTATCAGCCAAGGTAGATGCATATGTATAGTCCCACACCACCTGCTTCCAGTCTGTCCAGGCTTGAAGGGTGATACCATCTGGACACTTCTGGCTGCCATCAGATATGCACAGCTGGGGTGGCTCCCTTACTGCTGGGCATCCGGCTGTTGTGAGGCTCCTCTTGATAATGTTATTAACCTCATGTCTTGCAATCTTTCCCTCGGATTTACAGCACACAAGACCATGGTACCTGAATTGGTCTGCTGCTTCACTGCCACAAATACACCTGTGTTCGGTGAGAATAGGAGCGGCAAGTTGAAGGGCAACTCCAATGCGGATGGTCTGTGGGTCGAGGCATGTGCCAAGGTTGGAATTGGGAACAGCCAACATAAAGTCCCCTGCATGAAGGGCTCTCACTGCCAGGAGGCAGGCTCTATCCTTCCCTGGCACTCTGAAGCATTGTTGAGGCTATATTTTCCACTACTGGACCATCCCAGTGCGACTGTTTGTAGTTGTTGGGGGGAGCAGGTCTGGTTTCAGAGCCCGTTAGATTATCCCAGATCATGGCTCTGTCAATGAACTTTTGGTCCTGGACTCCAATCTTGTCCCTAAGATGTTCAGGGAGAATGGCTGCTACAAGCCCTCTGGATGCAATACATGAGGACAGAAAAACAGGTAGCGCAATCTGTGATGACTTGCGGACACCAATGCCTCCTAGTCTGACTGGAAGTGTAGCTTGGTTCTACTGCCCATCTTCTAGAGTAAGGTTAAGTACTTTCGTAAAAATCTGCCTCAGGATACTGTCATATTCGTGCAGTATAGGGATATCATATGAAGGTGCACATCTTAGGAAATATGTCAACCTAGGCAGACTCAAGCACTTTGTGAGAAGGTACAAGGCATCGTGGGTATCCAGATTGCCTATTCATTGTTCCATTCTCCTTAACTCTTCCAATTTCTTCCTGAGAATTGTGTCAATGGCACTGCTTCCCAGAGGTGCTCCTAGCAAGACACTATTTGTAGGGGCAATGACTGCTGCTCCTGGTAGTTTTGATCTCACTGCATTTATCACTCATTGACTGACTGAGATGATTTCACATTTGGATGGATTCAGGATGAGACCCATTTCTTGTCCCTGTGTCATTACCTGTGTAAGATCATCTAGGAGGGACTCCTTCGTACCTGCTAGTGTGCCATCATCTAGGAACCAGATGTTTAGCTCACTGGTCAGTCTGACTGTGATTTCCCTAACTGCTATACAGAAGAGAAATGGTGCAAGAGGATCCCCTTGTTGGACACCCTCCAATGATGTGATTTCATGCTCTCCAAACAGAAGCATTGATTCCTTGCTATACCCAGCTGAAACAAAAGGGAAGAGACCAGGAAAATGTTCTTGAACTGCTGCTAATAATATTTTTTTTTTTTTTTTTTTGAAAATTTTTCAACCCTGAGAACAAGTCTGGGAGAGGGCCTGTCGACCCTGAAAGGGTTAAGACCATGAAGACTACAAATATTTTAAGGTAAGTAATGAGTTATAGGTAGTAGGTTGGTAGACAGCAAGCACTCAGGGAGGTACTACTGTCCTGCCAAGTGAGTGTAAACAATAAGCCTGTAATTGTTTTACATGATGGTAGGATTGCCGGTGTCCTTTTTTTCTGTCTCATAAACATGCAAGATTTCAGGTACGTCTTGCTACTTCTACTTACACTTAGGTCACACTACTCATACATGTACAAGCATATATACACACACACACCCCTCTGGGTTTTCTTCTATTTTCTTTCTAGTTCCTGTTCTTGTTTATTTCCTCTTACCTCCATGGGGAAGTGGAACAGAATTCTTCCTCCGTAAGCCATGTGTGTTGTAAGAGGCGACTAAAATGCCGGGAGCAAGGGGCTTGTAACCCTTTCTCCTGTATAAATTACTGAATTTAAAAAGAGAATCTTTCGTTTTTCTTTTTGGGCCACACTGCCTTGGTGGAATACGGCCGGTTTGTTAAAAAAAAAAAAAGTAACGAGTGTACTGTATATGCATTTTATCACTCTAGGGCGCTATAAACGTCATAGTATATTATGTGTGGGTGGGATGGCTAGGAGAGCTACCACACCTGACTTCTTATAATAAATACAGTGGATCCTCGTTTTTCGTAAGGGTCGAAAGTCATAATTTTCAGAAACTGTAACTTTTTTTTCATCAAAACATTGACTCGTGAATCATCGTTTGACTCGCAAATAGTCGTTCATTTGGGACACATACACACGGCTCCGAACCGCCGCACACTCCATTCCCAGCCAGTGTGCCATTGTTTATCAGTGAGTGAGGATGATCCCACGAGTTCATATGATACATTTCATAATATTCCATTCGTTTTAGTGCTTGCAACTGCTTGCAACCATGGCTCCAAAGAAAACTTCTAGTACCAGCCCTTTGGTAAAGAATGTGAGAAACACATACAATTTAAGAAAAAGTTTGTAGAAAAATCCGAAAGTGGTGGTGGTAGAGTGGTAGCAGTTGCGATAGTGATAGAGGGTGGTAGCAGTTGTGATAGTGATAGAGGGTGGTAGTGATGGTGGTAGGTGGTAGTGATGGTGGTAGCAGTTGTGATAGTGGTAGAGGGTGGTAGTGATGGTGGTAGTGGTTGTAATAGTGGTAGAGGGTGCCTTCTTCAGTGATTCAGCGATTCTACTAACTCCTCCAATGTTGTTGGAGTTATATAGGGCTATGGAAAACACCGGCGCCTCAGCTGCTTCCTCACCACCATTATGGACAGCTTATGCTCTTGCTCTCAGTGGCCCTTGTACACCCAACAACAACAGAACACCTCTTGTGACATACATAATGACTTATTTTATTCATTCTAGAGTATACTCTATGTTTCTATGTTATTAATATTGTTTATTATGTCATATTAGTTGAATTGTGATAGATAAATTAGCCGTAGAGTTGATATTAGTGTCGTATTCTCCAACAATAGACTCGCCTCCCCTCCCTTTGCCCCGTCTGCCATACACCAACAAGAGTTTTCAATACGTGTAAAGGTAAGTGTGATGTTAACCCTTTGACTGTTGCAACCCCCAATCCTGAGGTGTCTCTCCTGGTGTCGCAAAATTTAAAAAAAAAAAAAATTATTTTTTCTTATGAAATGATAGAAAATCTTTTCCTGATTGTAATGACACCAAAAACACGAAATTTGATGGAAAATTGACAGAATTACGCTCTCGTGAAGTTAGCGACCACGGCGATATTTACAAATCGGCGATTTCGCTCACTTTGAGCCCTATTTTTGGCTAATTCCATTGTTCCAGTCGACCAAACTCATAGCTATTTCTTTAGAACTCCATTTTTTCTATCGATTGAGTACAAGAAACTGCCCATTTACTGATTTCAACTACACAATAACGTGGTCAGAAATTTGCAATTTGGCCAATTTCACGAAAATTAACCCCTTGACTGTCGTGGCCATATACGTATATACATCTTACGAGGGACCGTGTTTGACGTATATATACTCATAAATTCTAGCGGCTTCAAATCAAGCAGGAGAAAGCTGGTAGGCCCACATGTGAGAGAATGGGTCTGTGTGGTCAGTGTGCACCATATAAAAAAAATCCTGGAGCACGCAGTGCATAATGAGAAAAAAACAACTCCGACCGTTTTTTTTAATTAAAATGCTGACTTTGTGGTCTATTTTCGTATAGTATTTATGGTTGTATTCTCGTTTTCTTGGTCTCATTTGATAGAATGGAAAACATATTATAAAAATAGAGGTGATTTTGATTGATTTTACTATAAAAAGAACCTAGAAATGGAGCTCAAAGTAGGGGAAATGTTTGATTTTTGCCAATGTTCAAAAGTAAACAAATGATGCCATTGTCCAATAAATGTCCAACTAGCCATTCTAATATGCAGTCATGAATGGGTTGATGTTATTTATACAATTATTACAGTATTGCAGTAGTCTGCATAATAGTAAGTCTTCTATTTTTTTGGAATAAAAATTCAAAATAGAAAGCAAGAGTAATATCAGAGGGGCCTGGAGACATGACTGATGAGCAAAGAAAATGTTATTTTAGAGCCAGGAATGTCTGCATTGTTCATTTTGGACCTTATTTTGAAATTGTCATATTTTTTAGTTTTCGTGAAATTGGCCAAACTGCAAATTTCTGACCACATTATTAGGTAGTTGAAATCAGTTAATGGGCAGTTTCTTGTACTCAATCGATAGAAAAAATGGAGTTCTAAAGAAATAGATAAGAGTTTGGGCGACTGGAACAATGAAATTAGTCGAAAATAGGGCTCAAAGTGGGCGAAATCGCCGATTTGTAAACAGTGCCGAGGTCGCTAACTTCACGAGAGCATAATTCCGTCAGTTTTCCATCAAATTTCGTTTTTTTTGGTGTCATTACAACCGGGAAAAGATTCTCTATCATTTCATAAGAAAAAATAATTTTTTTTTTTAAATTTTGCGACACCAGGAGACACCTCAGGATTGGGGGTTGCGACAGTCAAAGGGTTAAAAAATATGACAATTTCAAAATAAGGTCCAGAATGAACAATGCAGACATTCCTGGCTCTAAAATAACATTTTCTTTGTTCATCAGTCATGTCTCCAGGCCCCTCAGATATTACTCTTGCTTTCTATTTTGAATTTTTATTCAAACAAAAAAATAGAAGATTTACTGTTATGCAGACTACTACAATACTGTAATAATTGTATAAATAACATCAACTCATTCATGACTGCATATTAGAATGGCTAGTTGGACATTTATTGAACAATGACATCATTTGTTTACTTTTGAACATCGGCAAAAATCCAACATTTCCCCTACTTTGAGCTCCATTTCCAGGTTCTTTTTATAGTAAAATCAATCAAAATCACCTCTATTTTTATAATATGTTTTCCATTCTATCAAGAGAGACCAAGAAAACGAGAATACAACCATAAATACTATATGAAAATAGACCACAAAGTTGGCATTTTAATTAAAAAAAATGGTCAGTTTTTATTTTCTCATTATGCACTGCGTGCTCCAGGATTTTTTTTACATGGTGCACTCTGACCACACAGACCCATTCTCTCACATGTCGGCCTACCAGCTTTCTCCTGCTTGATTTGAAGCCGCTAGAATTTATGAGTATATATACATATATATATACACTGTACCTCGTAAGACGTATATATACGACCACGACAGTCAAAGTGTTAAATGTTCATTTGTACATTTTATTAGCGCTCTACATTTATTTGGCATTCTTTTCTGCATGCAAATCTATATTTAAGCTAGGGAAGTGACCCATGAAGTGACCTAGTCCTTATGAAGGGGGATTCCCCTTCCAAATAATACCCTCTGTTCCCTCTCTCCTCCTCCCTGTCTTCCATTCATCAACAACAGCCTTCAACAAAGGTAACTGTCATGTTGAATGTTCATTCTTTTGTGCATGTAAATCTATCTTTAAGGTAAAAAAAAAAATTGTTGATACTTCTGGGTGCCTGGAACGAATTAATTGGATTTACCTTATTTCTTATGGGGAAAATGGATTCGCAAATCGTCAATTTTGATAACAGTCACATTCTCTGGAACGGATTAATTACGAAAAACGAGGGGCCACTGTACTACTCACCTTTGGCCCTACATTAAGACTACAAATATACTGAGGTAAATAATGAATGTACTGTGTGTGTATTTTACTTTTTATTGTTTTTTAATGCCTAGTTCTATTGCTAGCTTAATATATGTTAGTGTAAACTTATCTGATATTTATATGCATTTATAAGTGGAAAAAATGGCATTCTGCTTTCCACTGATGTCTGCTTTGTGGTGGTAGCCTGGAGCCTAACCTGCCATATAAATGGGGCCCTACTGTATATTATTTATCCGAACATACAGTATGTACTGCACCAACTGAGAATAGAGTATTCAATTTAATGTTCACACTTCAGTTTTCACAGGTCTGTAAGAACACTCTCACAAGCATACAGGTTTATTATACTGTAAATATTTTTGTAGGAGCTGAACATGGAACACTGCATGGAAAAAGTTAATGAATGGCCAGTTAAGATACGAGATATGTATGTTAACATATTCAATGTACTGTGACTATGGCACAGGCCAAAGACATGTAATGCAGAGCAAGCATTTAAGACAATATTTTGCACTGAGAAAGCTTTATCAGGTCTGACTTGATAAAGCTCAATTCTGAGCAAAACCTTTTACAATATCAAGTCTTGTTCTTTATCACATGTCTTTGTACTCACATTCTCTACAAATAAAAATATATGGGAGAAAGAGGTAAAAGAGAGGCAATTATGGGAGAGGGAGACATAAGAAAGGTTGGCACTGAAGAGGGAGAGAAGTATCTGCATTGTAAGAAAATACAATATGTTATGTGAATACCTAAATAACATCTTACCTTCATCCATTCACATGCAGCAAGCTCCTTCTGGCACATGGTAATTCTTTTAGTAACAGGACGGAGATGGACAATAAAATATATGTCTGAGCAATTATAGGTTGCACCATGGACGTGACGAAACGACACCAAAGACACAAATTCAGAATCCACACCAGTTTCTTCTTTCACTTCTCTCACAGCTGCAGTACTAAGATCCTCTCCTACAAAAGAAAAATACAGTATGACTACATGACTATGATTTCCAGTACAACAGAGAAAAATCTAAATACAGTGGACCCTCTGTTTTCGTCGATCTCCGTTATCGCCAATTTCAGTTTTGGCCGACTTTTTTCGTCGATTTTTTGGTTCCGTTTTTGTCGATCATACGGAACCTGTCCAGTGCCCAGCGTGCAGACAAAGCCACCTCCCACACACATTCTCAGCCAGTGTAGTGTTATTTCTTGGTGAGTGAACATATCCTGCCAGGTTATATGAAACATTTCATAATAATCCATTGTTTTTGCCACTTGTTTATTGTGTGTGACTGCTAAATAAGTGACCATGGCCCCAAAGAAAGCTCCTAGTGCCAATGCTTTGGTAAAAAAAATGAGGAACACCGAAGAACTGAAAAAAGAAATCCTAAGAAAATATCATAGTGGCATATGCATTGCTGAACTCGGCAGGATGTATGGAAAGTTGCCATCAACCATCAGCTCCATTGTGACAAAGAAAAGAAATCATGGAAGCTGATGTTGCAAAAGGGGTGAATACGATAACCAAACAGAGATCCCAAACAAATGAAGAAGTGGACAAATTGTTGTTGGTGTGAATCAGAGAGAAAAAGTTAGCAGGGGATACAGTGGACCTCCACCTTACAATATTAATCCATTCCTGAGAGCTCATCATAAGCCGAAATTATCTTTAGCCGAATTAATTTTAACCATAAGAAATAATGGAAATCAAATTAATCCGTTCCTGACACCCCAAAGTATGAAAAAAAAATTTTTTACCACATGAAATATTAATTTTAATACACACAAACTAAAGAAGACATGCACAATTACTACTCTACTAAGAATAGAATACATGACACTTGCCTTTATTGAAGATCTGGTGATGACTGATGGGATGGGAGGAGGGGAGAGTGTGGAAAGTTACTGTTTAGAAGGGGAATCCCCTTCCTAATATTAGGACTTGAGGTAGCAAGTCCTTTTCCGGGGTTACTTCCCTTCTTTTAATGCCACTAGGACCAGCTTGAGAGTCACTGGACCTCTGTCACACAACAAATCTGTCCATAGAGCTCTGTACCTCCTGTTCCTTTAAAACTTTCCTAAAATAGGTCATAACATTGTCATTGTACAGGTTGCCAACACGGCTTGCAGTAGCTGTGTCAGGGTGATTTTCATCCGTAAAGGTTTGCGGTTCAACCCACTTTGCACACATTTCCTTAATCTCTTTTTTCAATTCCATGCTAATTCTCGCCCTTTTTACCACAGGGATGGCACTAGAAGCTTTCTTGGGGTCCATGGTGACTTATTTTGCAGTTACAAACACTAAAAACACTGGGATAATGTGAAATGTACTGAATGTATGCATAGATGCGACCGCACTGGCTGGCTTGTAAACACTGGCGCTTTGGCCACACGTGGGATGCGTCCCAGATGAATCACATAAGGCGAGTTTTTTATCGTGAGGCGAGGCAAAATTTTTGCGTTCAAATGCTTCGCATGGCAGATTTAACGTAACGTGATGCGTTCGTAAAGCGGGGGTCCACTGTAGTGTTGTGCAGTTTATAATTTGTGAAAAGACAAGGCAGTTGCATGATGATCTCAAAGAAACTGCCTGAAACAAGTGCTGATGTAGGTGAATTTAAGGCCAGCAAAGGCTGGTTCCAAAAGTTCAAGAAGCGAAGTGGCATATACAGTGTTGTAAGGCATGGTGAGGGTGCCAGTTCAGACAAACAAGCGGCTAAAAAATTCATGCGGGAATTTAAATGTTATGCAGAGGCTGAAAAATTCCAACCCCAACAAGTGTTCAATTGTGACGAAACAGGCCTGTTTTGGTAGAAAATGCCAAAAAGGACCTACATTATGCAGGACACAAGCCTATGAAAGACAGACTAACACTCTTGTTGTGTGGTAATGCTAGTGGGGATTTCAAAGTGAAGCCTTTACTGGTGTATCACTCTGAAAATCCCAGAGTGTTCAAGAAAAACAGTGTTGTCAAGAGTAAATTGTGTGTGATGTGGAAGGCTAACAGTAAGGCATGGGTCACTAGGGAAATTTTCCTGGAATGGTTCAATGAAGTGTTTGGCCCAGTGATGAAGTAATGTAAAAAGAGACAAAATGAGTAGGTGAGATGTTATTAACAAATTTTGTTGAAAATAAGAAAAAGTTTTACAGTGAGATTAATAAGTTGAGGAAGCCGAGGGAATGAATGGATTTGATAGTTAAAAATAGGAGAGGAGAGTTATTAAATGCAGAGTTAGAGGTATCAGCAAGATGGAGGGAAAATTTTGAGGAATTGTTAAATGTTGATGAAGATAGGGAAGCTGTAATTTCGTGTATAGGGAAAGGAGGAATAACATCTTGTAGGAGTGAGGAAGAGCCAGTTGTGAGTATGGGGGAAGTTCGTGAGGCAATGGGTAGAATGAAAGGGGGCAAGACAGCTGGGATTGATGAGATAAAGACAGAAATATTAAAAGCAGGTGGGGATATAGTTTTGGAGTGGTTGGTGCTTTTATTTAATAAATGTATGGAAGAGGGTAAGGTACCTAGGGATTGGCAGGGAGCATGCATAGTTCCTTGGTATAAAGGTAATGGAGACAAAAGAGAGTACAAAAATTATAGGGGAATAAGTCTGTTGAGTATACCAGGTAAAGTGAATGGTAGAATCATTACTGAAAGAATTAAGAGTAAAATGGAGAGTAGGATAGCAGATGAATAAGGAGGCTTTAGGAAAGGTAGGGGGTGTGTAGACTGTTTACAGTGAAACATATAGGTGAACAGTATTTAGATAAGGGTAAAGAGGTTTTTGGTTTATGGATTTGAAAAAGGACTATGACAGTGTGAATAGGGGGGCAATGTGGCAGATGTTGCAAATGTATGGAATAGGAGGTGGGTTATTGAAAGCAGTGAAGAGTTTTTATGAGGGTAGCGAGACTCGGGTTAGAGTATGTAGGAGAGAGGGAGATTATTTCCCAGTAAAAGTAGGCCTTAGACAAGGATGTGTGATGTCACGATGGTTGTTCAATATACTTATATATGGGGTTGTAAGAGAAGTGAATGCTCAAGTGTTGGCAAAAGGTGTGGGGTTAAAAGATAAAGAATCTAACACAAAATAGGAGTTGTCACAGTTGCTCTCTGCTGATGACACTGTGCTTTTGGGAGATTCTGAAGAGAAGTTGTAGATGCTGGTGGCTGAGTTTGGTAGGGTATGTAAAAGAAGAAAATTATAAGTGAATATAGGAAAGACTAAGGTGATGAAGATAACAAAAAATGAGGTAACGAAAGATTGGATATTAGATTGGAGGGAGAGAGTATGGAGGTGAATGTATTTAGATATTTAGGAGTGGACGTGTCAGCAGAATTGATAGGGATAAAAGGTGAGTGATGCACTTAGGAGTCTGTGGAGACAAAGAAGTTTGTCCATGGAAGCAAAGAGGGGAATGTATGAGACTACAGTTATACCAACACTCTTTTATGGGTGTGAAGTATGGGTGGTGGATGTTGCAACATGGAGAAGGCTGGAGGCAGTGGAGATGTCATGTCTGAGGGCAATGTGTGGTGTGAATATAACGCAGAGAATTCATAGTTTGGAAATTAGGAGGAGGTGCAGGATTACCAAAACTATTATTCAGAGGGCTGAGGAGGGGTTGTTGAGGTGGCTCAGACATGTAGACAGGGTGGAACAAAATAGAATGACTTTGAGAGTGTATAAATCTGTAGTGGAGGGAAGGCAGTGTAGGGGTCAGCCTAGGAAAGGTTGGAGGGAGGGGTTAAGGAGGTTTTGTGTGCAAAGGGCTTGGACTTCCAGCAAGCATGCATGGACATGTTAGATAGGAGCGAATGGAGACAAATGGTTTCTAGGACTTGACGTGCTGTTGGAATGTGAGCAAGGTAACATTTATGAAGGGATTCAGGGAAACCGGCAGGCCAGACTATGTCCTGGAGATGGGAAGTACGGTGCCTGCACTATGAAAGAGGGGTGTTAATGTTGCAGTTTTATATCTGTAGTGTAGGCACGCCTCTGGCAAGACAGTGATGGAGTGAATTTATTTATTTATTTATTTATTTATTTATTTATTTATTTATAATTTGAGCACACATACAGAGGTACAAAAAAATACAGATAAGAGCAGCATGCCAAAGCCACTTATACTATGCATAGCATTACGGGCTGGCTTAAAATTAACTTAAGATTAACTAAGCAATGATGAAATCAGTGAAAAACATTAATGTAAACAGATTACTATAAAGCACAAGTGAGTATTACAAAGACAGGTCATATGGTTGCATGCATTGTTGTAAATTCAGTAGAATGGAGTATTCTGTTAGGTAGTGTATTTAAAAAATAATAAAGTTAGATTGGGTTTTAGGTTTAACATTTATGTGATATAATTGTGAGAAACATTTAAGATATACAATTTATAAGGTTCAGTTATTCAGTATTTATTTGGTTTTGGGTGAGTAAGTGATCTTTGAGAAGAGACTTGAATTTATAAACAGGTAGTGTTTTCTTTTATTTACAGGTAATGAATTCCAGATTTTAGGGCCTTTTATGTGCATTGAGTTTTTGCATAGCGTGAGATGGACACGAGGAATATCAAAGAGTGATCTGTGCCTTGTGTTATGGTCATGTGTTCTGTTGAGGTTGGCAAGATGTTTGAGGGGAGGGTTAATATCAGAGTTGAGTGTTCTATGTATGTAATAGGTGCAGTAATAAGTATGGATGTTTTGTATGGTGAGTAGGTTGAGTGTATTGAATATTGGTGGAGTGTGCTGCCTGTAGTGAGAATTTGTTATCATTCTAACTGCAGCCTTTTGTTGGGTAATTAGTGGTCTGAGATGGTTACTTGTTGTTGAGCCCCATGCACAAATTCCATAGGTGAGATAGGGGTAAATAAGAGAGTGATATAGGGCCAGGAGGGCTGACTGTGGAGCATAGTACCATATCTTCGATAGTATGCCTACAGTCTTGGAAATTTTCTTAGAAATTTGTT